AAAAAAGGTCTACTCCATGATAAATAGAGGGAATACACAAGGGAGAAGAGAGAAAACCATCTTGGAGATGTTTACCTTCTTCCTTGTGGTGTGGAGATCAACCTTGGAGGAAAAATTTCCAAAACCTTGCTCTTGGATGAAACCCTAACTTCTCATCTTCTCTTGTTCGTCCTTTCTCACTCTAGAAATCTGATGAAGAAGTCTCTCTCACTAGGTTCCTCCCCCTTTCTTTTTCAGCCCAGCCCCCTTTATATACCCAAATCGACGGAGTTTCACGGTCCCAGTTCACGGCCGTGAATATTTGGCCTGGACCGTGATGTCGAGCAAAGACATTTCGTTTCATTAAGGTGCTTCGCGGACTGGAGCTGGTCTTCACGGTCGAGCGACCGTGAGCTGCTTTATGCCCGCGAGATGGACAAAACCTTTCTGGACTCCTCACTCTTCACGGCCCACGCCTCTTCTTTGCGGTCTGGATGACCGTGAACCTCTGGCCTCCATCGTGAATTGTTGTTGTTGTTCCCTTTTGACCGATTTCTGCCCCTTTTGGTCCAAATTTCATCCCATAGGTTGATTTTACCTGCTAGGATCTGAAACATACTAAAAACAACCACAACCTAGCGTAAAATCGAACTTCCCGGAGTAAAACTATCTCAAACATCTGAGGAAAAAGGGGGTAAAAAGTGTACAAATAGACCCGAATCTTTGGTGGTGAGATTTCTTTCTCTAATTGATCTTGTAAGTTACTAGTAAATCCAAGGGGGAGATTCAAGGCTCAAATCCCATTTGGAGTGAATATTTCCACCCAAGGTGTAAAGATTGAAGCTCTATGAGAAGAACCCATCACTTTGATGTTGATTTTTCTCCTTGAGTTGGTGATTCTTTCTCTTTCTCTCACTATAGAGTAGAACACTTATTCACTTGGATGTTGTAGAACTCTAGCTATGTATTTTAGATTAGATGATTGAATGACTCTTTTGTTTGTTTGAGTGTTTGATTATATATAGAATTGAGGTATATCAAGGGATTGGTTTAGGTATTGAGAAAACTCTCCAATTACTTCTTTTAACCTAAGGTTGAGAATATCCAATTAGGTTGATTAGAAAAATTTCTCAATTTTTCATTGTAATTCGATAGATCGAGCGTGAAATCGGACTACAATTTCGTATTGGTTAATTATCGATTTATCATCAGTCTACTTTGTATCTAGAGGGAAACACACCCGAGTGACTTTCTCTCAATAGATCTCAACCATACTTTATTTGCTTTGCTAGTTGGTTTGTTAGTTGAAAACCAAACTTTGATTTGCTAGATAACCAAAAGTCACGAAGTAATAGTAGATTTTCCGCTCGGGTGTACATGGGCGTTGGGCTGGCACGGCCCAAGCACGCTTCGTGCCCATTTATCTCATTTCGTGCTTGGCATGACCCGTCAGTTTCGTATCGTGCCGTGTCAACCCATTTATTACTTTTATTAGCCTGAGCACGGTTTGAATCATGCCGTGTCTATTCGTACTCGTGCCGCACTCATAATCGTGCTTAATGAAAAGGAAGAAAATAAAAGAGGCAATAAAAAAAGGAGAAAAGTGAATGAAGAATGTAAGTATTAATAGAGGTTGTTTAAGAAATGTAACAAATAAGGGGTTGAAAATAAAACTGGAAGTATAACGGGGTGTGATGTGGTTTTGTTTAATTCTTCGTTCATTTTTACTTATAGTAGTAATTACACATATATCTTTAAGATCGCTTCTAACAATAATAAATAATTATTCTGCATGTTGTAATATTTGAACCTATAATACTTTTTATATTTATTTTTATGAAAGAAATATTATTTTGTTCCATATTTCGTTCTTATACTTAATAAGGTCTCGAAAATATTAGGCCCGGCACGACCCACTTACAGATCATGTCGTGCCTGTGCTCATGATGTTTAGGCCCGACACGGCCCATGAATTATTCGTGCTCGTGTCGTGCTGCCCATATATTTCGTGCTCGTTCTCATGTCGTGCTCTAATCGTGTCGTGCCGTGCTAGCCCATGGACAGCCTGGCCCGTGACCCACTACACGCTCGGGTTAATTAGTAAAACTTACTTCCACAATACTCAAATCCCAAGCATCATGGAACTGACACAAAGCCATTGTTTGTTAACAGACACACATCCGTGGGGCCCACGGATTTGGACCATTTTTTTAGATCCAAATCCGTGGACCCCACGGATTTGTAAATCCCACATTTCATTTGGGATTTGGTGTAGGAAGACAAACATGTGAGACAAATTCATCATAAATCCATAAACAAAGAAAGTACTCTTTCAAATCCATTATACAACAAATCCATCATAAATCCAAAGGTTTCTAAAACTCAAAACCCTCATTTTCAAATCCAACAAGCAAACGAGCCCTAAATACTATGTCAGGCGACCTGAGGATTTTTACCATCAAACTCCAAGCCTCCGACATCATTTTATGTAGTGTAAGAACTCTTCCCAAACTGTGTCTCGAGCCACTTGACTGCTTTGGGATTAACAATATTCTCGTTACTCGAAAATGTTGTGAGGTCCATTAGGTGTTGCTTATTAACTATATAATGGGCTTTTTTTTTTTGACAAATGGGCTTTAGGTTATGGATTCTTCCTATGACCCAGTAATTAGATTTTGATACTGACTTGCACAAAACTACACCACAAATTAATCCGATTAGAGTCCAAGTTTTTAAACTCTAACCGGGTGCAGTATAGAGCAATTATTTAAATTGTCAACCCGGTCTGGTCCATATACCCCTACTTCAATCACTTAGGTTGTTATCTAGCAAAATGGTTCTGGGTTTAAAACTATGAAAACTACAAATGAAAACAAGCAAGGAAAGTAAATAAAGGAAAATCCTAACTAAGGGAGCTTCACCCAAGAGTTGCTTCCCCCTAACTAGCTACCATGACTTGTTGGATTGAATGAAGTCGTGAGCCATAGGTGGTTGTGAACCTCGGGGGTGAGCAACTAGTGAACAATCTGTCACGGCATCAATTCACTAGCGGTCGATTTGTCACGAGATCGATCCACTCAACAAGTCTAGGGGAACCACTAGGAGGAGAAACTAGCGATCCATTTGTCATGGGATGGATTCGTTAGGGATTGATTTGTCACGAGATCGATCCTCTCACCCAGGCTCTAGTGGTTTCCTAGGTCTCTCCCTCAAACCGGAGTTTGAGCGGCTTAATCACAGCCAACATAGATGCAACTGGTAACCGCGAACCGCAGAGGGATGCATATGTGGTAGAAGACCACAATCTCAATTGCTACATCGAGGTAAGCATGAAAGGCCGTATCACTCGACCCTCTCGGTTTAGACAATCGGTAGTTGACTTACTCCCTCACTCAACTATAAGGTCGGACGGCTTAATCGCGATTAACCGATTTGCTTAACTTAATATTGAGGGTTACCCTAACTTAACCTAGTTTAGATGGCTTAGAAAGCAGAAGGAAAACCAACTCGATTGAGTCTCCCTTGGAAGGGGGATTTTCCTCTCTAAGCTAGGCTAAGGTGGCTAATTAGAGTGCTAGCACCAACATGCACAAACCTAAGGGTGCTAAGCACAATTATGCACAACCCTTAGATTGCTAAGCACGAGCATGCACAATCACCATGGAAACACCTCTAATACTCAAATTGATGCAAACCCACACTTAATCATTCAATCTAACACAAGTAATTACAAAGTATTAGTTAGGGATCTACAACAACCAAGAGAAAAGAGTGAGCTTCTAGAGAGAGAGAGAGAGAGAGGGATTACAAATTTGAGCTCAAGATCTTCTTCTTCTTTTTCTCCAAAAACCAGCTCTCCTTTCTCTCTCCCCGCCGATGTCTTCATATTTGCCCGAAAGTGACCAATTCACGGACGTGTTGGCCAGTTCACGACCGTGAACTCCTAAACGCGTCCGTGAACTCAGCGTCGTCCAAAACGCGCCACTTCACTCGCCTAGGTTCACGGTCAATGGCCCTGTTCACGGTCTTAGAGACCGTGAACTGCCTTGTCGTCAGTAACTTCACGAACATCGCTGGACTGCTCGATGTTCACGGTTTGTGGTCCATGTTCACAGTCTTAGGAAACCGTGAACTGCCTTGTCCGACCGTGAACTGCGGCTGTTTCCTAGGACGCCTTCACTTCACTGATATGGGGCGACTTTGGACTTTTCTTCGGTTTTTGCGCTTTTTTACCACCAAATATCCCAAAACTCGTCCTCGGCTCTTCCACACGTGCTAGGACCTGGAATGTATTAAAACAAGCACAACCTAGCGTGAAATATGTCGAGGAACGATGAAATACTAGGCTAAACGGATAAGAAATGAGGGGTAAAATGTGTACATTTGAGCCCGAATCAGATACAGATGGTAAAAATGTATGTTTGTTCATCTACAATATTACTTGAATAAAAATGTCATTAAATTTTTATAATTACGATCCTTCATTTTAAAAAATATCATATATATGGAAAAATTATCAAGGATTGTTAAACCGTGATGGAGGTTATACCAGAAAAAAAGATAGAATATTGTATATTGAATCCTAGTTTAACCATTTTATACCACTAAATACCACCTACCGATACGATACGATTTCTAAATCATTAAAAATAACCCTCAACTCTGATATACAGAAAACATGGTATAAGTAATGCGACGATCCAACTAACCGTAATAAAACATGGTTGTGAGTTGTGACAATGTGAAAATGTAGTGGACCAATGCCGCCTAATCCGATCCAACGGTCCAAAATAACCCGCCAAGCAAACCCCGCGGCTTCACACCCTACCATCCTCCGATCCGAGGCCGAGGGAGGCATTAACGTTTTTTCCCCATTTCTGCTTCCTGAGGAAGGAAGAGTGCCGTTTGAGGTTCAAACTTTTGGTTCCTTTAACTGGCACCGTCAGCCGCCGTTAATCAATAGGGTTTTCTTTCATCAGTTTCGGTAGAAATTAGAAACCGCTAAGGGGAAAGAGGGTAGAGTCGGGAGAGCAGCCCGCTCGCCCTCTCGACAGAAATATAACGGCAAGCAACGGAGACGGTCAGTACTACTGCTAATATATTCGTTACATATGAAATCTACTGTCTTCTATATATTTTTATTTTTTTAATTCTCCCCTTCTCTCTCTCCCTCCCTTCACCTTCTTCCGTTCTTTTTTATTGCCCCCCTTTGTTTCAACGGGCGAGGATTTTCCGAAGCCAAAAACCTTCTTCGTTTCCGTAGCGGAGCGAGGAGACGAGAGAAACTCACAACAAAAGACGGTTTCTTTCTGCCTTCCTCTGAAAAGGGTTTGTCTCTGTTAATGAGCTGGGCTTCGATTCCCGCCACTCCTTCGCAAGCAGAGGTCAGTTTGCTCCTCCTCCACAGTTCTTACAAATCAATACTCCGTGTGGTCTTCCCTTTTTTTGTGCCCCTGCTGAGCCTGATCGTGTTACCGTCATTTGTCGAGGTTTAACTAGCTGCGATTCCATGGGAATTTGCTCTTTATTTATTCGAAAACCCTAGAATTATGGATGATTTTTTGTTCTCGATGGATCAAATTTGATGTTTTTTCATAAGATCTGGGTGTTGTTTGTTGCGGCAGTTGGGTGTCTGGGATCGAAGAGAACAGGTCAAAGTTTGATGCCTTTAGGGATTGCTTTACCTTACTGCGATCATTTACTCCAGCGTTCGTGTTGCATAATCGGTTTCCACAGGTTAAATGTTTTCGTATCCGTTACTTTTTGCTTCAGGAATTCGGTTTGTGAAGCTGAAAGATGGATGAGGCCAAGGTGGAAGAGTGTTGCCTTGAGAATAAGCAACAAACAGCTGCTTCAAGCTCTTCTGTCTCTGAGGGAAGTGGCAGTGCCGTTAACAAGTCTCCTGGAGTATCAAGTCCAGCCACAGCATCACCAACACATAGGTTAGGACCTCTCATCCTTCTTCTTCTTCAATTCCTTGCTAGCAGTCTGCGGTATATGTTTACCTATATGATAGTTCTCGCTTAACTGGGCAAGAACAACATTTTAATTTCAAATTCAATGAGTTGCATATAATGTATTAAACATTCTTCGTTAGACTACTTGAGATTGTATTACTGATATGAATGTTCACGAGGAATGTTTGGTGAATTTGTCTTGCAGGAGAACCACTGGCCCGATAAGACGAGCTAAAGGTGGCTGGACCCCTGAAGAGGTTAGTATTACCAGGTTTTACTAGTTAACTAACCACCATCTTGCTTATATATGTCCATCAGCTGTTATAAGTACACTTGGATCATTATAGTTTTAATTTACTATTTTATTTGCTTCTTGAATCAGGGCGTCTTGCATGCTCATGGCTGCAAATTGTTGATTATCACTAACTATGTTTTTTATGCTTTCAGGATGAGACATTAAGAAAGGCTGTTGCTAAGTACAAGGGGAAGAGTTGGAAGAAAATAGGTTTATTTCTTTCCTTGCCTTTTTTTGTTGTGATTCGCAATAAGTGCCATAGTTCGTGCCTCTCTCGAAATTTATCTTTTCGCGGTATTGTCGATACGTGATAACACTCACATAACTCTAGTAAACAATAATGCTAGGGATAAACACTGGAACCCAGTGGTTTTCTGCTGCTGTATTTGCCAGATCACAGGATGCAGTCTGATTATTTGTGTTTGTAGATTCCCAGGTTGTTGAAACAATAGAATTCTCATGTTCTGCTGAGTTGTGAAACTGTGTAGCTGAACAGTCAGAATGTGCAAACTTTCTTGTACCTTTGTGGCATAATAGATAAGGTAGAAAGGCAGCTGATTGCATGACTTGATTGAAGTTTTTTTTAAATGTCTTCTTCTGTAATGTCCAAGCGACGCCTCAAATATTTTGATATGTTGATGGTGGTGATGAATGAAGAAAATTTGCATAAATGAATGTCATTTGGTCTTCAAACAATCACATAACAAAATTTATCTTTCCATGTTTGTGCCTGCAGCTGAATATTTTCCTGATAGATCAGAAGTCCAATGTCTCCATAGGTGGCAAAAGGTTCTGAACCCTGACCTTGTTAAAGGACCCTGGACTCCAGAGGTTTGATACTGTTACCTTGGTCTTCTATTCAGCTGGTCTATCTTATTATGTATTCTAGAGGTGAGAAATTTCCTCAATTTGTTCTTTCAGGAGGATGATAAAATTATTAAGTTGGTGGCAAAATACGGACCAACAAAATGGTCTGTCATAGCGAAATCTTTACCTGGCCGCATAGGAAAGCAGTGCCGGGAGAGGTGAGTCTTGCTGTATGTAAAATGACCATGTCAATTTAGTATGAATTGCCAACTTCGGATGATCAAGTTGTACTGTATTTATGGTCTCTATTCTAGGTTCCTACTAATTATGCAATGGTTGTGATATTCTAATATGGAACCCCACTAATTCAACAATTTTAGGTGGCACAATCATCTCAATCCTAATATTAAAAAAGAGGCATGGACACTAGAAGAGGAAATGGCACTCATAAATGCCCACCGGATGTATGGCAACAAATGGGCTGAAATAGCTAAGGTTCTACCTGGAAGGTTTGAATTCTTACTTGATCTGCAATGATTTTGTGAGTGTAGCTTTGATTGTACGATATTTCAGACTCCAGAAATCCTTCATCTGAAATATGGAAGATAGAAGGAAGAACATGTAATTTGTTGTAGCATTCGAGGTGTGGTCTTTTGTTCATGTATTACTGTTTAAATGAGTTTTTTAATACACTACTGGTCCTGGCTTTCTGATAGCTACAGACTTAGCTAATACCAATATAAATTGTGGATGAGATCTTAATGTAGCCCTCCATTATCTAAATAGTCAATAGTATCAAAAGTGCATTCAGACAACATCTTCCCATGCTAGCATGAGTCACTTGATTTGCACGAAAATTGAGTGTGGTATCAATGATTTTTTAAGAGACTCCTGTTTACTGTCAAGCATTCTCTGGCCTTTTGCTATTTTCCTGCAAATCTTCTGGATGCATGATGCTCCATCATTGTAATAGTGTGAGCCTAAATGAGGCATGAGAATCACAGGATACTGTAGTTTTAATTGACACTCTGTGTGGTGCAGGACTGACAACTCAATTAAAAATCACTGGAACAGCTCCTTGAAGAAAAAGTTGGAGTTTTATATGGTTACTGGGAAGCTACCTGTGGTTCCGAAAATCCAGAATGGTGCAGCACATGGTCCAACCAGAATGAGTAAAGAATCTGATTCAACTGCCCAAACCTCATCAGGGACTACTGACATTTGCAGGCTAGAGGAGGATGGCAAGGATCAGTTGGACTCACCGAGTGCTCAGCTGCAGAATTCGGTTGCTGATTCTGAAGTTGGTGTGGAACATCATCAATTACAGTCGCCCTTAGATGTTAGTTGCTGCAAGCTTGAGTTAAGACAAAATTTTGAGGCTTGTGGGTTGAATGGCAACATGAATAAAGGTAGGACTGCTGGGTCTCCCCCTGTTGCTGCAACACCCCCGCCCTATGGTTCTCTATGGTACGAGCCACCACAAATGAAAACTTGTAGTATTTCTCTGGACTGCAATCCCAGTCCAATAATATCTTCTCCAGCTGGTTTCTTCACCCCACAATGTGTGATTAGTAGCAGTGGTGGCTTGGTAAGTTCACAGAGCCCAGAAACAAGGTTGAGAATTGCTGCCCTGAGTTACCCCAACACACCGTCCATATTCAGGAAGAGGAAGACACTAGCTCGAGTTCCTGAACTTCCCAGAGTGGAGGGGACATCAACAGGGAGTATAAAACCCAACCAGAGCCCGTCTCAGGAGGGAAGTTTGCATAGTAGTAGTAGTAGTCCTAGTTTGGTGGTAGATGATAATGGCAGTGTTAGTAGTAAAACATGGCCAAATGGAAAGCCATTCAATGCGTCTCCTCCATATCGACTGAGATCCAAGAGGCTGCCTGTCTTGAAATCTGTTGAAAGGCAGCTGGAGTTCGCTTTCAATGAGGATGATCAACATGAAAATGGTGCTAACAGTGGCAAAGCTGTTAAGTACACTGCTGGGGCAAGTTCTGCTGCTCCGGAGATGGCTGTGACATAGGCTGATTGGTAGCTTGTTTGACACGGTAAGCTTTTACTAATTGAGACCGAGACTTTACAGGTGGTGCCTCCTGAACAGGCAGTATACGAATCCGCTGAACTATTCTCCTTTTATGTTTGATTTTCTTTCAGGGAACCAGAGAGACGACCCTTTTCTGGTGCTGACTTTACTAATTGAGACCGAGACTTTACAGAGTTGCATTCGTTCGACTTGTCGATAGTATTTTCCAGGAGCTATGCCTTCACTACTGGCTTGTGTGGAATATACATAAGAAGAATGAGCAGGATAGGTGTTTTTGGGGGAGCTCACACTTTTGTTTCAAGTCACCAAATTGTAACTACCTTGTACAGGTGAACATAAACTTTGTCGAGCAGCACTAGTATTTACATAAGACCAAAATGTTGAAGAATAAAAGATGGATCTTAGCAGAGTATATCCTTTCTCTGTTTTGGGTTCTTTTGAGTTCATTTTTATATCGGGCCAATCTTTAGTGAATTTGTCCTTGTTACATAACTTTTGATATGACACCAATAGTTATGTTTTTCCATTAGTGGTTAACAGAAAATAGAGTAAGTGATTACATGATACTATGACAGTTGATGTGGAAAATTTAATAAATAAATAAATTACAAATAAGTGAAAAGGGTAAAATGCCTTGCTAGTTCGCCTTTTCTTCCGCCTCCCATGAAAGCTGCTCCTTCCCCTCCTCGCCACCTCCGGCCTTGCCCAGCTCTGCCAAAATTCAAATTCCGACCACCCCATTTCTCTTCTCCCCTTCAACTTTTTCACCCGACCATGCTTCCGACGGAAATTCAATCTAGTTGAGATTTGTATCATAATATGTATTAATATAGTCGGTTTCTCAACTTAATTGGTCATATGAGTCTAAGTCTTCGGTACTGGACTAACTATGATGTGTCTCTAGAATTTATGACACTAATATATTGGGTTAATTGCAAGGTTGGTCACTGAGATGAGATGACTAAAAAATGTTATTTTTTATCACTAAAAATATTAATTTCATTTGTGGTCATTAAAATTAATCAAACCATATAAATTTGATCACTCTCCGTTAGCTTCGGTTAACACCGTCAGTTTTTTGTTGATGTGGCTAACAGAAATGACTAATCAGCTAATTTTAACAACAAAAAAAGATTTAAAATCCGACACACCACGTCATAAACCCAACCCTTCCCTTTCTTCGGGATTTTTCCAATAATAGCATCTTTTAAAAAAATTACAAAAGTAGCACCCAGCCCATAAAAATTACAAAAATAGCATCATTTTAAAGAAACCGCACCTCCAAGGTGCGTTTTATAAATAAACCGCACCCTCCAGGTGCGTTTTATGTATAAACCGCACCTTGGAGGTGCGTTTCGTGCCACGTCAGCCTGGTAACCGCACAAGGCAGGTGCGGTTTGTGTTTCCTCCCCTACGGCCTTGGAGAGCGTTGGATGAGGTGGCGATCCAACGGCGGACCGCACGCCACCTCAGCGATCCGCGCCATGGATCGAAGACCGCAGCCTGTAGGTGCGGTCAGCGCCTCGAGAAAAGCAGAACGCATCGGGAGGGTGCGGTTTCAAGAGGAGCGAAATTACCAGACCGCCCCTGGAGGGTGCGGTCTGAATAGTATAAATACTCCTCCCCCCTCTCATTTTTCCACACCACAACTCATTCTTCACTCTCTCTCTAAAATTATCTCTCTATCCCCTCCCCTCCCAAAAGTCTAGGAAATAGTGGTCTGTTGGTTGCGGCTAAGTCCGATCTGCCATCAGAAAACATTTCTTTGGTTTTTCCCTCAAAACCCGCCGAATTTCTGTCTGACTTTTGCGAAAAAATGGACGAGTGGTTCCAAGGAGAGGGAGTTTATTATGATGAATTTCAAGCGGTACCTACTCATTATTCTGGCCAATTTTTGTTTTTGTTATAAGCTTTTTAATTAATCTATGTACTAACCTTGTTGTTATTCTCTCGTAGGTTGGGGACGGCGTGTATATATACAACCAACGGTACTATTTGGATCAAGGACCTATTGATCCAACCGACTTGTACGACCAACCCAACCATCGTTCAAGGGATGTTTGGAACGATCACTAGGTACATACAATTCTTCATCATTTGTCTTTCTTTTATTTTGTTGAGAAAATCGGGTATTAAGAGATCCTCGGATCCCCCCTTTTTCTTTCAAAAAGGTTGCGTTTCTAAGAAGATGTATACCTCTTCTAAGAGTCTAACGAGTGTTGCATTGTATTCGATTAAATTATTTAAAACAACCAATACGATTTATGTTTATATGTACTTAAATGAATTTTATTAATTTCAAATGTTTGAATATGTATGTATCTCTTTAAATTATTATTCATTTAGAATGTTATTTATGTCAATTAGTTGAGTATGTTTGTTTTATGATAATAAGTATATATCTTGAAAAAAACTATCAATTATTTAAATTTGATTGTTAATAATATAATTATAATAAAATTATGGTCGAAATTAAATCATTAATTTTAACTAATTTAGTTATAAGAAAAAATGGTTACTTATAGATCATAAATAATGTGGAAATTTTTGCTAGGAGGCATAACAAATACTCCGCTACAGGGGTACGACCAATGTGCTCCCATGGAACCTAGTTATCTTGCCATTTCTCAAAAGAGCACGGTTGGATTCGATTAGGCATTTTGTAGGCATAAAAGTCGATCACCAACTAATCACCGCATTGGTGGAGAGATGGAGAAAGGAGACACATTGTTTCAACTTTCGCGAAGGAGAGTGCACCATCACGCTAAAGGACGTCGCCATCCGAACCCATCTTCCCATCGACGGAAAAGCGGTGTGTGTGAGTGATCATCCCCCCGAGGATCGTGAAGGTATGACCGGTTGGCAACATTTCATCCACAGTGTTTTGGGGGTGAAAGTACCAATCATTTTAAGTGTTGTTTTTAGTTATGTTTTAATTATATGTACTTGAAACCCTTCCTCCTATTTTGGTTTATTTAATTGAGTGTTGTTTTAGTTTTTTTTTAGATCTATGTACTTGGCTTTCTCCATTTTTTTCGTGTTAACTTAAGGCTTGAGTGTTAATTGAGGGTTATTTGCCAAACACGTACGTTCCAAGCATCATAACTCTAACACCGACAATAAGTGAAAACATACATAACAAATACCAACAAATGATAACCGCAAACTATGTCGCATTAGCTGAGTCCCCCACATAAGGACCCGGATTTTGCGGACCAATCGGACCTGGACAACTTCGTTTATCATGCCCTGGAACTCTGCATACTGAACATCGTCTTGGGCCTCGTGGTGGTCTTCCACTTTGATCCATTTCGTTCTGAATTCTCTTTTTCCTCGGTCGACCCGGTTCACGCCTCTGTCCGAACGGCAGGATGATCAACTTTCCTTCATACGCCGGCCAATAAGCTTCATCAGGCAATGCACAGAAACTCCATCCATAGCAATTTTTGAGTGAGTCGATATTGAAGAATGGACTGACGAAGTGACGGGGGTCTTTGCTCCTGTTTTTAATTACAGCCATTGCATGAGAACATGGCCACCCTCTCCCCTGATACTTCTGGCATGAGCACTCACCAAGTTTTGTCCTGAAATTGACCAAAACTTCATGGCGATGGCCCCTGCGTCTACCATCCTCCCGAGTTCCGGTCGTCAAGCTAAACTTGCCATTTGCCCGATTCATAACGGTTACACTGCGTCGACTGCTCTTGCGATTGTCATGCTCCATTATTTCTGTGACTTTATAGGCATGGACCTTTCCTTGTGCCTCGTTCGTCCTTGCCCAGTGTAGTCGATTGACGAACCATGCATTCGTTTTTCAGAAAGTCATCTCTACAATGGCAGAGATTGGCAGCGCCCGAACACCCTTGTAGGCAGAGTTGATATTCTCACTTGAGTTCGTTGTGACAATACCCCATATTGTACCTCCGTCTTTATGAAATGTCCACATGGATAGATCGTGTCCATCCAGCCACTATGCCCCTTCAGGGCATAACTCGCGCATCTTCTGCAACTTCTCATGGAATTTTTTCTCTTGGTATGCAACAGCTGAGGAACACACAGAAAATTATTACGTTAGTCATAATTCGGAAATTTAGTACATTTCGAACAACCAGCAGGTACTCTTGTTAGACTCTTAGGAGATGTATACATCTCCTTAGAAACACAACCTGGTTCACAGAAAAAGGGGGGGATCCGAGGATCGCTTAAAACCCGATTTTCCCAGGAAATGGGAGGACCATGATAATCGCTTAAAATCCCATTTCCTTAGGCATGCATCTCTATAAAAAGAGTCTAACAAGTGTACCGTTGAATTTGATATAAGACATTGTTATTTGACAAAATTAAACAACCAATAGAGAGCTTACCAATCAACCACAAATTATCAGCAAGCTTCTTTCGCTTGAAATGATGGTTCCAGCTGCTCTTGAAGTGTCGTATGCACCACCTTTGGGTCCACTTCCAGGCTGGATCCATACCTAAGATGGCAGCTCTAATGCCGGCGTGCCGATCAGAGATTATTGTCAGGTTCGTCATCCTAGTGACGTGGAGCTGAATTTGCCGGAAAAACCATCCATAGCTATCATCATTCTCTCCCTCAACAATGGCGAAGGCTAAAGGAAAACTTGTTTGTTTGCATCCGCCCCACTGGCAATCAGGAGAGTGCCCTTGTACTTGCTGGTAAGGAATGTACCATCCACTTGGATCAAAGGAACACAAAAGCCAAAACCATCAATAGATGGCTTGAATGCCCAAAAAAGTCGTTTGAAATGGCGCTTGTTACCTGGCTCTGGCGGTTGTATCTCTTCATCTTGGTATCGAGGGGAGAAAACAGTGCCAGGGTTAGACGCCTCCAATGCTAAAATCAACCTGGGAAGGTATGCATATGATTCTTCCCAATCACCAAATACGGCGGCCAGAGCTTTCTGCTTTCCATGCCACGCCTTCTTATAGTTAATCATATAACCATAACGACTTGCAATGTCAGCGATTGTGACTTTCACCTTCAGGTCAGGATCTTGCTCAATTAGATGCTTGATAGCCGCAACAGCCACCCTGGATTTCAACTGTCGATGGCCTTGGGATGTTATGGATGACACACATGTGTGTATGTGTTCACCGCACGGGATATGACCCAATGGCCATGTATCTTGCTGTTGATGGCATGAATCCTAACATTGCATCCCTCGTTATGATTACGACATCTGACTATGAGCCTTTTCTTGTTGGAATGAGTTGTGTGCCATTCAAAATGTCAAGTCATTGCTTCAGTATCAATGGCGTGCCGCACCTCCTTCTTCGAGCCAAATTGTTGGCGCTTCATAAACCCAGTGAGTGGACCCCATACTGGAACCTCTGGGGGTTCCATGTCGCTATCGACCATCCAATTGCCGTCCGGAATGTGATTGTAGTAGGGGACTGATACACGGTCATGAGCCACCTCATCATCATTATCTGAGTCTGACTCTGGTCCTGAATCATCAACACCTTCAAGAGGGTCAGAGCTGTCTGCACTAATGTTTTTCTCTTCTTCTTCTTCATCGGAGGGGTCACTAACTGGTGCTGGCAGGGCATCTTCCATCTGATCCAGCTCATGAAAGACACCTTCATCAGCTCCAAATGGTAGTTGTGAAAACTACCGCTGCCTGATTGGAAGTTGTACTGGGGTTGGTTTGCATGGTCCGGTTAAACTTCTTCTTCATATGACGGGAAAGATTGATGATGACCTTCACCTTGATCTTGGTACTGAAAATAGGAATGAGGATCATGGTAACTTTGGTAGGGATGATCTCCATATAATTCACCTCCACCATGGATACCAGATGTTTGACCGTTTCTAGAATGACCTCCAACGCCTACAACCGCCTCGGTGTAAACGAACATCTCGGCTTTGGAAAGATTGTTGGACCTCAAGAATTCGAGCATGGCATCTATTTCATCCCGAGTGGTAATGAGATATTCCTCGTGCCACAATGACCCACCTTCTCTGTTTGGATATCGGTACACCATACGATCAACTCTTCTCGTGCCATCCATGCAAATAACGTTAGTACACATTTGATAGGGGTCTTCAAGCATCGGTCTGGTAGCGACCTTTATTATCTGAAAAATTGCCACCAACGTAGGTGACCCCCTTTCCGGTCTCTTTCGTGTAACCATTCCACCGTAACCCAAGCGTGAACTTTTGGAATGCCATCTGCAAAAAAACCGTAGTTCAGTTAATATCATAAAAATCACAAATCACAATAAAAAGTAATACAAAATAAACTTACGAGTTAACGTTAACCGCAAAAACACTAAAGAAGTAGGGAGCTACAATAGAAAATTGAAAAGGGAAAAGGAGAGGTGTGCAAAGAAGAGGGTTCCCGGGCTGTCTTTTATAGGAAAAATCATCAATAAAAGTCGCATGGGGAGGGTCCGGTTTTCATCTGCCATTCAACCCCACGTCTGTCAACCTGCATGGCAACATGTTCAGTGTCGAAAAATAATTACGACACACAAACCGCATGGGGGGGGGGTGCAGTTTTGCTAGGTTAGCCCAAAAACGCACCTAGGCCATGCTGTTCTGTTAGGTCGGACCCAGAACCGCATGGCCAAGATGCGGTTTTGGCCCTGAATATCAAACCGCACCTTGGGCGTGCGTTTTACAATCAATCCGCACCTTAGAGGTGTGGTTTATATAAAAGGGTGCTATTTTTGTAATTTCTTTGGGCTGGGTGCTATTTTTGTAAATTTTTTTAAAGGTGCTATTTCTGGAAAAATTCCCCTTTCTTCCTCTCCCTTTTCCCTTCCCCATCTTTCTTCGTCACCAAATCCTGCCAGCGCAAATGAATCTGGTTAGCCCAACTTCTTCTTCCACTAGTCTCTTCCCATTCCTACTGTAGAACCCATTCTCTTTGGCATCTCCAAAAGGGGATTCTCGTCATAGTGAACCATTCTCGCGTTCGTTTCGCTGTGAGATCCTCAATCGACGAGGACATGCCAAGGGAAGAGGTCGATGGTAGCCTGTCGGGCATCTCCATCTGACAAACCCTCACCCCGCTGATCAACCTCTCGGACAGCTCTTCCTCCTGTGCCTCCACAAGGAACCCCATGTCGATCGTCACGCACCCCAGCGCCAGGTGTAGGATCACCGTCGTGATTGTCAAGCTCGCGATATCAATATCGATCTCCAAGTACTTCGGTCTCCTGTGGTAATTGCAGGTGAGTGCCTTCCCTAGCAGGCATGTGTTGTGATTCCCGACCGTCTTCATGGGTCCCTTCACAATACGGTTCACAATCTTGAACTGCTGGTTCCGGTACTCGTCGTTGCCGTTGACGAATTGTACAGTAGGCTGCCTAAGGTGAGCGGATCTGACAAGGAAGCATAAAGTCACTTCCACTACTCTCCACCTCAGTCACAGATCTAGATCTTTGGCGGTGGGGATAGGGAAGCAATGGGGCGAAGGTTTTTGGTTACGACGACTATGTCAAGGGGATTGAGATTTTGTTGAACTTTGGGATTTGGTGGGTGGGGGATTTTGGTGGGTCGGTGAGGAAGCCAATGAAGCTTGCAAAAGACGTGGACCTTGGTATTTTTTGGATTGGGATTGAGATTTTGTGGGACTTTTGGATTTGGTGGAAAACCCATTAGAACGAGCTTGCCGAAGTCTGGACAGCGGTGACAAAGCCGATGAAGCAGCAGTGACAAAACGGCCGGGAGCATTGCCGGAGTAGAGTTGGAGTATGGTAGAGTTGTTCAAGGAAGAAAGAAGGGGCTGGTTAGCATAATAGGGTCGGTTAATGGGTGGGTTTGATTAGGAAGATTGGGTTAGTTAATAGGGTGATGTGGCGGGTTGAATTTTAATTTTTTGGGATATAAATTGGCTTACTTAGTATTTCAGTTAGCCACATCAGCAGAAAACTTATGGTGTTAACGGAGACTAACAGAGAGTGACCAAACTTGAACAATTCAAGTAATTTTGGTGACCATAAATGGAATTAAGTATTTCTTATAATCAAACATGACCTTTTTTAATAATCTCAGTGACCAACCTTACAATTAATCCCTAATATATTGTACTGAATAAAGATTGGAATGTCATTTAAATGACTTGTAAGACCCCATGCAACATGTATGTAGCGATACATGTATATTTCCAACTATTAACCATATAAATACTGATGGCAATTGGAACCCACCATGTACAGTATCACCGTACCTAATTTATGTTGGGACGGGTAATACCTGACAGCAGTAGCGTGAGGCGGGACATAGGTACTACTTCCGTCCTGCCCGCCTCGTCCCATTCCGTTCCTGACCCGTTCTACCTTGATTTTTCCTCATTTTTTACTTATATCAAATAATATTTTCAGCAATTGTTACTCTAAAATCTAAAGATTAGAAAAGTGTAAGACTTCAACTTTCAACCAATTTCAATCAATTAATCTATCTATCATCTCTGTTTTTCATTTACAAAATAAAATTATTTATTTATATAATTAAAAATAAACATTTTCTTCCATTATATATAAGAATGAGGCAACCTGCTCTGACTCGCACTTAATGCGGGGCCAATATGGGTTTGAGGAACCCGACCCACCGCTCCATTGCCAGCACTACATATATATTATACTCGAAGTCTTAAAATTCAAACACAACTTCGGGTTATAGATACTTAACCCATATTTCTTAATTCTTAATTTGACTCTCATAACCACCATAATCAAAATTGACCTGAATCGGCCGATATACTGGGGGGAATCGGACCTGTCTATAATTCTGATCCTGAAAGACTAAAAAACAATAAGAAATATAGTCGGCCACATTTTAATCGATTCATTGATTAACCGGCAGCACCAACCAAATCGAAATAATAGTTTTGGTGCTCTTCAGTTTTAATGACATGCCGTATAATAAAAACTAGGGCTGGGCATGCGAGCGGATCATCCGCAGGTTTGGGCCGACCCACCCGTATTTGACCCGAATTTCGTTAAGTGGGTGGGTCTGTGGGTGGGTGACGGGTTGCGCTGGGAGCCATCCGCCGGGTGGTGTATGGGTTGTGGGTGAGTGTGCGGGTGACCCGCTCAACCCAACAACAAAAAGATCAAAGTCGTTGGCGCTAGAGAGAGGAGAGTGGAGACGTTAGATATAAACTCGGAATGCTCCTAGAGTTTGAACCTCAAAGCCAACCCCTTCCAAATAGAGATCCCCTCTTCTTCCCTTTACTTTTTCCTCTAATTCTTGTGCCTAGATCACCGCTCTTTCCTTTGTGGAATTATTTTCCTTAATTCCTTGCACCTAATAATCGTCTCAATCTGTATAAAACTCTTTCATAATAGAATTTCTATCCAATTTAAGAACTAATTCGACATTTTTCGCCCTATTTCAACTCATTGTTTCCCTCGATGATTTTCTTCACCTATTATCATGTCAAGTTTACTCTTTTATATTATATACATTATGATGTGGGTGAACCCACAAACCCACCCGCATTATCCACCATCCGCCCGACCCAACCCGAGACTAAATGTGGGTGGGTGGTGGGTTAAAAATTATCAATCCGTTTAAGCGTGGGTGGATGCATTTTATGGTCAAAATCCACCCGACCCACCCAATGCCCACCCCTAATAAAAACTAAAAAGGAAAAAAAAGGAAAACCGAAGGCTTTTTTTAAGGGTAAATTGCATGTTTGGTCCATGGAATTACTGAATTGTCACGTTTGCCACTAAGATTAGTTATTCCATTCATGGTCACTTAAATTAGTTTAACATTCCAAGTTTGGTCACTGGCCGTTAGTCTCCATTAACTTCTGCTGATGTGGCAATCAACTCTTATAGTTGACCGTTAAATTAGTGACGTGATAATTAAAAAAATAATAAATTATTAAATTTAATTATTTTTATTTTCCACCTGATTATTATAAAAATTAAAAAAAATCCTAATTCTTATAATTCCCCACCGCACACACTTTGATTCCCATCATCGTAGACTTCCTGTCCTGCGGCGATTACCTCAGTGGACGAGCATTTCTCTGCTCCCAAGTGGGCCGCTTCTCTCCCCAAGAAAATCCTCAACCCTCCATACTTGCCTCTCCTTCCCCATTCGCTCCTCCAAACCCCTAGACGTTAGAGATAGCCCAAAAGCTAACTATGACCAACGCTAGATGTGAAACGGGGAATTGCAACCATCTCCTCCACCACCCCACTTCTCCCCAGGCTCGTTATTTTCCAATCCATTCAACCCTCACTTCCTTCTCCATAGCCGCCCACCGCCGTCTCCCAATCCCGCATTCCATGCCGATTGCCGGCCCGCATCAAATGTCCCATTAAAGATCGTGACTTTTGCCGGAGGTTAGTCAATTCAGCTCGGTTGCGAAGACCGACGACCTAGATTCTTCGCCCGTCGTCGCCACACCGCCGCTGGGTACCTTGCACGTTGCTCAAGACAGGAGCGGAGAAATTCTCCATAGTTTCAATTCTGACGTTGGCCAACACCATGGCGAGAAGAAGAGATGTGTCTGAATTCGTAACCCCAAACCAAAAAATCAAATTCGGGTAGAATAAATATCACGTTGTTCTATTCTATTCCCTCCAGAACCTCCTTCTCCCTCCAATTCAAATCTCGTCGGAGCTCTCCGGTCTCTGATTCCTCTCGCCCCGACCTCTCGTTTTGCTTTGCCTCTCCGTTACCAGCTCTTGCCTCTTCCGTTCTCTTCTGCTCTTCGTTCGACAAGTAATTCTCACTTAATTGTCGAGAGTTTTTACGTGGAAAGGAATTGAGGCCGACGGTGGATAATGATGGTGGGCAGTCGACACTCATTAACTTTCCTCTCCTGTTATATAAAATAAAGTTTTTTTTTTGTTTTTTAATAGTTGTAAAATGAGCTTGAAATTTTAAGAAATTAAAATTTTATTAATTTTTAATTGCCACGTCAGTCATTTAACGGTCAACTATAAGAGTTGAATGCCACACCAGCAGAAGTTAACGGAGACTAACAGACGGTGACCAAACTTGGACTCTTAAACTAATTTAAGTGACCATGAATGGAATAAACTAATCTTAGTGGCAAACGTGACATTTTTTAGTAATTCCACGGACCAAACTTGCCATTTACCCCTTTTTTTAATGATATGTCATATAAGAAAAAACTAAAAAATAAAAAATAAAGGAAAAGGGAATGCAATCCTAAGTTGGCGTTATTTTATTTTTATCTTTTCTATATTCTTTCTATGGTTAACTTTTTAATATTGAATTAATCTATTGAATATATATAAAAAAAATATAAAATTCTCAATTTCGAAGCCAATACTAATTTTCAAATGTAGTATGAAATCATAATTTTTTTATTTGTAAAATTGTATGTCACTGATTTTATAAGGATTTTATTTCGATTGATCATAGATCATCAGACAAATCTTAAATCGACCTAATCCAGGTTGCTGCCCAGTTCAATTTTGACTACACTGCTCATAACAATAAACAAATTTGTACAGCCCGACTATTTGAGTAGTGCCATAAACATAAGTGGACATTTGTGCACAAAGATCCAGGAGGCAAGAGCTATATAACAAAAAACGGGGGAACACATATAACAGATACATCATAGTTATCTATGTTTATTAATTTGAAGAAAGCTCAATGATTCAAACTATTTGTTTCCCGAGAAACTAAATACCACCGTCGATGCCGAATGGTTTCGGGCGGCGTTGATTTGATTGTTTCGTGGTGAAAACTCTTGCGGTGTCGTTTGATCGGACGCACCACTGAATGCTGAAATCAAGACGACCGTCAAATATCCATCGGGCGGTGTTGATTTAATCGGTGCAACTGTGACTTCTGAAAACTAAGACGATCGTCAAATATCCACTGTCGGCGATGTTGATTTGATCGATGCACCTCTGACTTCTAACCAAGAACGACCATTACTCGGTTCACACCTCTCCAAACAATGTTCGAACGAGGGTGTTTGAGTTTTTGGGGGAATCTACTTTACGACTACTCCTATGGAGATTCCTGTGGAGAGCTCCGCGATTACGACTACTTCTATCAACTATGGAGATCCTTCCTGGAAGAGGAGCTCCGCAACGGAGTTACAGAGAAAAAGGTTAATTGAAACAACTGTGTTTTTGTGTTGATTTCTGGTTCTCCTTTTCTCCCTTCTTGCTCCGATGATTTTATCTAAAATCATCTTCGTTGTCTTCACGCTCATTGAAACTGCTTCCTCAACTGCTCCTTCCTAAAGTCCCACATGTCTCAACTGCCTTGATCTCC